TCTCATTCCAGTGACTATTCAACTATTCAAGACTCTTCAAAACGGTATAGAAATATTTATATCCATTTGCTTTGGAAATATAAAAAGATTGAACCAATTACAAATTCGGGTAAAACATAAAAATTACATTTTCATATTGAAAAAGACATAACTCCATGAAAACTAGTACTCACATAAGTCAAGTAATTTTTTAATGCTTATATAATGGAAATGGGATTGTTAAATTGATTAAAACACAGTTAATAAACGCTAATCACTTTTACTTTATTGCACGCACGAGGAAGAATAACGCCTGAACTCTATCAATATCTCCAAGAGATTAAAGACTAGACACAAGGATCATAAGAACATTCGTCACCAAAAAAAGAACCCTCCAATGTTTTCTTGTGAAACCATTGTTTATGTTTATACAAAATCTGAGGCGACTCCGTGGAGTTCTCCATATCGATTCATTTTTGTAATCAACATAAGTCAGTTCAATATATTTCTATGAATTTCAGCTTGATACTCAATGCCATTATCTAATAAGCTTTTATACGATTACACATAATATCAACTAACTATGAGAAAAGAGACGAATTACCTCAAGAATCGAAGAAAATGGACACAGATCATTTAGTTATGGAATATCTACTTACATATACTTATATATGTAGAAGAGGGTGGGGCAAAATGCACCGGTGAATATTTTTTTTTGCTGATTGGATAACAGTACGACATTTTTTATCTTCTATTGCTCAGAAAGATTTCATTCTGGTACTTCTGGGACAGATCTTGCCTCCTCATAAGCCACCTCTGACCTTGCTTGCTGTTTGACTCAGTCTTTATAACAATTTTGTAATTAGTTTTCCTGTACTTTTATTTCTCGTTTTTGTTTTCTCTATATTTTTTGTATAAATAAAAAATCGCCCATTCAATCCATAATTTTGTACATAAAAATTTTATAGAATGAAGTTCATGTTGACTGTTACGCAATCAGCAATTGAAAAAAAAATCACCGGTCAATTATGCCTCACCCTCCTCTATTTTAATTGAATTTGAACTGAAAATATTCAATAGATTTCTCATTTATATTCAAGAGAATCAGCTTTTCGTGTTGCAGAATCATCACGGCGAGAAAATAAGATAATTTTTGACATTTCTTGAGCTTTCAGAGGCATGTACTCCAGGAAATTGAAAATATCAGGGGAACGTTTGAAGAGTAAAGAAAAAAATACTGATGAAAACTGATAGGTCTACTTTTCAACTGCATTTTTAGAACTCATCAGTCAGAGGAAACCCTTTTGACGACTACATCAAACTTACATTTCATAATGTTTTTCCAACTTTGAAAAAATCCACCGATTAAAAGTCCGCTCCAATACTTCTCAAGTAATCATTTGAGTAATCAATCTCTCATCATTTTAAGATGCATCATTCAGACAGATTTTTTAAAATTTATTCTCGGTTGTAACGAAAACATTAATTCCAGAATTCCGCAAAAAAAGAAGAATTTAATTAAAGAAAATCTGCAAATCCATTACAGCTATCAAATTATTCAAGTACCATAATTATTTGAATATTATAACTTCAATAGCAACAAATTTGGATATTTTATTAAATCCCTTCAGTTAAAAGTAGGAAATTTTCCGGGGACGAAGATATATAATATGTTAATAATAAACATAGATCAAATATATGTGCATATAATTGATATATATTTACGGTTTCCCTCCCGGAAAGGCCGATATGTTTAAATATTTAATTATTTCACCAGCAACAACGATCGCCCAAATACAAATTACAGACGGTAAATAATTTTGCAGCCAATCCACTTTCGCAGGCGTTAATAAATAATCATATGAGAAGCCAGCTACCGCATCTGATGAATTTTGGTATAGCGTGTGCTTGTATCATGACCAAAGTGAATGGCTCTCCTGAGATCTCACGAAGGATGCATGTGCCTGAAATCCTCTCGGAATTATCGCACGACACGAGGTGGTGTGAAAGATTATTTGTGAAAACACATGCGACGGATATTAAACTCTCCCTACTCTGTGGACGCATGTTTTACGCTTTATCTATCGTCATAAGGATAAAAAGTTATTCTGCGCACTCGAGAGCGAAAGAACTTATGGATTTCTAGACACAATGTCATTCTGTTATCCAAGAGGCACACGTAACCCGTGTCTTCTACTTCACCGAGTCACATTTGTATGGCACGTAAGGATATTCACTTGTACAGAAACAGCACAGGTGTTGTTCTGCTCACACATTGCCGAGAGGAAGGCGCACTCCAAGAACAGTTTATTGCCACCGGTCTTGCTCAGGGGACACAATTTTATCCCCGATGTATGCGGATCGCACAAATATCTTCGCATGGTTATATGAAAAATATTTTTCTTCGTCACTCTGTCAACCCTTATCGAGTTGTTGTCTCGGGGAACAGTAAGCCCTGGCATTCTGACCACTTTGACGACTCCATCAGACAGAAACAAACGGAAATGTCACTTGTGCATGAATCAAAATAAATCACACACCGAAAAGAAAGTATTTTTTACTATACACGGAGAGAAATTTCGATGAAAAATTCGTACCAGAATCGCTTGAAAAATTATCGGACTGCTCAGTAGGTGTGCAGCATTGCGGACTAATCTTTAATATTATGGTCCAGCCCAGTAAAATTTACTGAAAGTGCAGTAAAAAGTGGATAACTAGTACGAATATTTCAGGTTTTTAGCAGTACATTTTACAACATCGAATGAACTTCGGAGAAAATTGAGGACCAGTCCAGTAATTTTTGTTACTCTGCGCAGTAAATATTCCGGAGAACTGCTATGATTTTTCATAAATTTCACATGACTTTTCATCAGTGCAGGGCCATTACCGCGTTTACTAATACGAGACCAGTAATTTTTCGTACGTATCCAAGAGATAAATCCAATAATAATTGCCAGAAGAAGAACATCAGAAATTACCGTTCACACTTTAATTTGGGAGCGAGGTGAAGTTCAACAAAAAGAGTGAGTTGGAAGAGAAATTGTACGAACAAGTAATTCTGCCATCTTGAAATAAAAGTTTTGTTGTTCGCTGTGGAGTAGTGTCATTCCGTTCAATATATATCATCATTATTTCTTGCAAGTACCTTGAGTACTTGCTGCAAGTGTCGTTTGTGCTTAAGACAATTAACAACTGATCTACCGAGATAAAAGAGAAGAATTTTTCGTTATCATTCGCGTCAGCGTGAAGGTAATTTCTTATTTTTCGTAATATCTCGCACGCACGGATTGAACTCTACACACGCAAAGAACAAATGAGTTCTGAAGAAAAATTTGTTTTGATGTTCCACGCAAGAGGAACATGTTTCATGTTGAATCAATTCAGTTGCAGACATTCAAGGAAGTTCCATCAAAACATGAACATTTCTGGGATAATAATTGCTTTCGTGAGAGGTTTATCCATCAGTTGTAGCGAGAATATCAAATCGAAACATACATAATATACAATAACATATAACATAACATATGTAGGCTATCCTATCCAAGACTGTACCTTTAAATAACTTTTGAATGAGGACTGTAATCGGAAAAATTTTTGAATAAAAATTATAGGGTTCAACCGCCGAAGTATATGTTTCGAACATAAATATTTATGCCTTGATGTTGTGTTATGTCACGTTTTTTATAGCAACCGTCAATTGCTCATAACCTTTCAGGTTATATTGCAAGGTACAATTTCATACATCTACAAAGATCTGCTTAAGGTTGTTGTATCGTGAATTTTTGTTGGACAATTTTTGTTAACAATTTTATGGTGAATAGTTCAAAAAATTAACCACAAAATGAAATCTTTCCGTTTGCGGACTTTTTTGAACTTGCGGTATAAATTTTTGAAATTCAAGTGATTTAATATATGCTTAGTAATGAAAAATTCGAAAAGGTACAAAAGTGGGGAAATTCTGGACAATACTAAAATTGTATGAGAAAAAAATTGCTCCTTTGACCAAAATACTTGGATATTCTTAAGGGCCAGTTTTTCGGTAAGTTAACCGTGGTTAACGCGTGGTTAAAGTTAAAGTTAAGGTGGTTGTCGCGCGACAGTCTCTGTAAAAAGTTTATCCGCTGTAAAACGGGCCAGTTTAGAACACAATCTTTTAGCGGTATATAGTCTCACTTGATTGATTGCATTGTGCATGGATAGCTAAAGCATAACTATATATTTTCCATATTAACTATTTTTAATTATGTAAATTTATGAATTTCCGATAATTATAGTCCGTAAATCAAACGGTCAATCGATTTGATTTTTTTTTCTGTATTTCCTCCCACGATGTATATTCCACGTTTTTTTTTATTTCTGAAACTGTCGAGCCGTTGATTTTTAAAAAATTCTAATCGGCAAAACTCCATTTAAGCACGTGTTAAATCACTCGAATTTCAAAAATTTATATCTCAAGTTCAAAACGGTCAATTGCAAACGGAAAAGGCTCATTTTGTTGCTAATTTTTCAAACTATTCACCATAAAATTGTTAACGAAAACTGTCGAAAAAAAATTCTACGCGACAACAACCTTAAGATCCTTGATTAGCTGGACTCAGTGTTGGAGGATCTTAACTCGACTTTAACCACGCGGTTAACTTATCGAAAAACTGACCCTAATTCCTACTTGGTGCTTTTAACGTGCACATTAAACTTGAGCATGAGTCATAATCGGAAATAGTTAAAGTATTGATTATGGTATTACGAACTCGACGTTAACAGGACAGTGAGGTAAAGTGAGATAGTGTGGAACGAAGAAATAATGGAGTAAAGTGGATAGCATGTACAGTCGAAAATGTACTTCACGATTCTATTTTAAAATGTAATGGATTTCAAAATTAGAAATTTAAGACTTAAAATAGGGGCTGTCGAAATTTTCCAAAATATTTAAAACATTCGGATTTTCCCGTGTGTATATTAAACGATATAAATGCAATGGCGCATTCAAATGGTATAATTGGTTTTATTTTATTCTGTTCTAGATCCACCATCGAAACCAATAATCTACGATACGAAGAGGCGTGACATGAGCACTCTGGGTGTGGCATACGCAGAAGGTGCTAACCTCACACTAGACTGTGAGGTATATGGAGGTAAACGAGAGTGTGATGTGAATAGAATGCGTTATGGATAATTGCATAGTTTCGTACGATGTCAGAATCTCATTACCCAGTGGATAGAAGAGAAATCTCTTGACGGAATTAGTTTTGCGGCATCAGTTGGTTGCGTCATGGTATATCCCCTCGTATAACAGGCTATATGAGTTTATTTACCGCGGATTGCTGATATTCAAATTACTATTGCCAAATATAACTCCGTAATTCTTTGATAATAAGTGGCTTATGTCGATTAGAGGATTATTGAGAGCTCTGGAGAGAAACAAATCAACTGATTAGGCATTCCCGGGGAATATCCATTTTCTACCGACCAATACCGATTCGAGCAGATGGAAGTCTATTTTCATTTTCACAAACTGTTGCTGTTAATCAAAGTTGAAGTGATTGCTTCCATTGATTACGGTGAGGGAAAATAAACGGGAGATGAATTGGGAGGAATACTGAGTGATTGGGTGGACTTCTGGAAGTATTCAATCATTAAGACTATGAGAATTTGTGGGGGAAGGATATTACTTGCTAAATTTGAGGTTTTCGACAGGCGATTGATTTACCTACGGAAAAAAGAAGTTTTCATATTTTAAAAAATTCCTTTTTTCATTCTAGAAATTCTTTCCTTCGGGTCATTTATTGTCTTGATTCAAAAGAACTTTTCTTTTTGGGAACTGGATCAAATAGAACAGATTTGTAATTAAGTTAATTATCATTTGCATTTATTGAAAATTGAATTTTATGTATTTCAAATAGACAATTCACAGGCTAGAAAAAATTTAACAATTGCTAATGTGTTTTGTATGTAAATATTTATCACTTTTACTGAAAAAATAAGCGAATTACTCGAGTCGACTTTTTCAGCCTCATTTTGGCTTTGAATCCAGGATCCGCCGCTGATGCACTTCAAGATCTTTTCCGCAACTATTCTGATTGAAGTTAAAAGCATTAACTTCAGAATTCATCCACTTCAGAAATTTTGCTATCCGAAATTTACGTATTCCAAACTTAATCCAAATTTTCCGGAATCGATTTTATTAAAACTGAAGTGCGACCACTTAAAAATTCCCCCACCTCAAAATTTTACAACTTCAAATTTGATTTAATTTTTTAAAGTTCTTTGAACTTCACGGGCTCACTCCAAGATTTTTCCACTCTCTCTCTACAATTCTTTTGTTTTTCTATTAATACCAGAGTACTAAAATTCATTTATTAAAAAAAAAGATGATTGAATATTTACAGAACTGCCAATTACTGAAAGATTTTTTTATGTTGCTTCATTATCTCGTCTGGACATGCATTCAATTATTCCGTTTCATTTTTATTCTTCTATTCTCCCACTCGATTGAATCCATTATTTCAGTTTTCTGCTCGCAATTATGGTTACATGGATGTACGGACTGAATTACTGATAACCACTCAAATGATAATTCTTTAATTAATCGATTATGGAATCTGCCCTCATCGTATCCTCGTTTATCCTCAATTATCTCCATCTACGGAAGGTGGTTAGTGTGTGGAGAAAATTGTTGGCAGATTAAGCCATTGTATTTATTACCCGCTATTAACGCATTCAGGTTGAAATTTTCCCGATGGGGATAAAGCCTTTTCGTGTGATAAGGTATTACGCAGATAGTGTTACTCTCCTGAAAAAGATGATGAGGTTCTGATATGAGAAGAATCTCAAAGGGATTACTTTATTCCTATAGATTATTTTGCTTCATCACTTTGTGGGGCCTCTCCATTAATTTCCCCTAATTCCTCCGAATTATCACTCAACGTCAACATAAAGATTGAGAACAATGATCGGTAATCAATAAACGTGATGAATATGGAATAGGCTTGAGGGATAAGGATTTATATTTTTTATAAAGACCGGTTTATTATTAATCATTACTGGATTTTAATTGGAGGCCAGGTTAATAAATGAATGGACGTTTAAGTGAGAGCAATTGAATTATATTTTACTAAGATGTTTTCACACTTCGAGAGCTGTTACTGAACTAACAAACGATCTCGAAGTCACAAAAACCAAAGCATCGGCGTCATGGTTTCTTTCTTTCCATGCTCAGAGATTTGTTTATATTATTTAATAAACATTCATATAGCGTTCCGTCGTAAAACCACACAGACGACCTCATAGTATAATAAATATAAACTTATATAGGTCTGTAATCTGATCGTTATTTCTGATTTTTTTTTCGCTTTGAAAAACTAAAAAAAAATCCAACAATCGACATTTTGTAAATCGTAATTCATGATCGATTGACTCATATGCGGATAGATTGACAATTATATTTTTAAAAATGTAGTTTACTTATTAATAGTTATAGATTATGTTCATAATTATCGTAAAGTGCCTTCCTGTAATCGTAGACCCATCTACGTTTATGTACGCGGAAAAAATTTACGAAAATTACGAATCTAATTTACTATTCCTGAAATTTCAAATTAGCTTTATGTAATCCTAAAGTACTTTTTCAACCACAAAATTAATTTGCGCGCTGCGATAGTATTCCTCCAAAATTTTTCTCGTTTTCAGGTCAAGCATCCATTTTACCCCTTGTTCCGTTATTTTAAAACGAACAACTGTACTCAAGTTGATGCCAAATACTCCGGTAAATTGCGATCGGGGTATAATTTCTCTTTTTCACTCTTTGAAAAAAAAGGGCAAGTGTCCTCGAGTCCATAGCCGCACAAGTACATCTAATCGAATGGGTAAGTACTCGAGAAAGCGATTCAAGCGGCATCTCTCGAACAAATATACACACAGTCTGTACTGTTTACCCCATCTCAGCACTGTATATTCACCGACGTTGAAAATGCAACTCATTGATATACTCAAAACAGTTGAAGAGTTCAGACACTCAGAAACTCTTTCGTTCCTCTCCTTCACTACAATATCTGGTAAAGTATGTCAGTTAAAACCTAGAGCTTTTTTCAACCAATCTGGGGTCTACTAAGAACCGTTTAAATTTTGACCTTTGATTTTTTTTGACCTTTGAACTGAGAGTCCAAATTTTTTCCGGGGAAGACCCAATATTACATTCAAATTTCATGATTTTTGATGATTTTTTTCCGCACAGAATTCGGTTGGAAAATATTCCTGAAATTCGTTACTCATGGATCAGATTCAATTACAAAATTCCCGGATTCCATTTTTCATGTATGACGCTTAGTCATTCTGCGTCAGCTCCGTGATGAAAAAAAAAGATCGGCAACTGTGCAAAGGGTGGAATAGTATGCAAAAACGTTATGTGTAAAAAAAAATCGTGATAAAGAAACTTGGGTGGGTTTTCTGTGAATGAGTCGCCTAGCCTTTTCACTAAATGGATGTTTCAAAAATTCAAACTGTGGAAAAAATGGAGAAAAATAAATCAATGAAACAGACAACTATCAAGTCTATTAAGTATGAAGTAAATTGGAATTGTCATTGAGAGGATTGTGGGAATCCCAAAGCTTGAAAAAAAATTGTCGGAGAATGAAAAATCAGGAGAGACAGGGCTGAAGTTTATAGCATAGCTCAGAGGCCAGAGGATTAAAGTGATACATTTGGGACACATTGCGAAAATCCTACCGAGCAGTTCGCACCTTCCTCAATTGATTTTTTAACCTATGGCGTTTTTCTCTTTCAACTTTTTCTATGAGCTATTTTCCTGTGTCCACCAATTTCACGTCACATGATTATTAAAAATAGAACAGTTTCCGTACAACAGCAGATTTTTCAAAGGACATTTATTATACCTTCTAAAAATAACAAACCGAAAATATTGTCTTAAAATTTATTTCGTCATATTCCATCTATTCGTCCATTTTTCGTTCCACAGAATTCGATTTTCTGTTATCAATCAGCGAGGAATGCATCCTTTAATTCTAGATGGCGACTCTATTAGTTTCAATACATTAACTGAACATGAAAAATGATCTTTATCTCCAAATTTGATATCGACGTATGGATTTAACAAAGAAATAATATTTGAAATAGAACACAAGACTGACTGTTCGAAAAATTTCAATCAATAGTTTCACGTGAGGTCGAACTTTCTCTCTGTCAACACCTAGACTCAATTGGGTCAGCCCTGCCAATGTTGTAACAAAAAACGGATACTTTATAATGTGCATCACGAGAATGTGAATATCAACCTGTTGCTATGGACTATATTCGGCGTTGTTAATCTAAATGATGCAATAGTTACATCATTGAAAAATCCATGAATGATTTTGCAGCGTAACTACGGACACTTGTTCCATTTGTCGTTCCATTTTTATAAAACTGAATGGCAAGTCATTGAAAAGGACAATGTCAAAATGGTGCCTTCTATTCCTAGGTGCCTCTCAAAAATACGTAGGAAACAAGTACAGGTTGTTTCAACACTTTAATAACCTTCAACTTCAATTGGATACACAAACTGTTACACTTGGTCAGCTCGAAGTAGTCGGAGTATTACATTCTCTTGGCTGATACTTTACCGCGGATTTTAATCAGATCTTTACTAAATTAGCATGTTTTTTCATGTTTACTAAATGATCTAAAAATAATATTACAATAAACCGATCGATATGTATGCCTTACATCTTAAGGTGACGTGTCATAATGTCTAATTGTTCAGAGTTTATGATTTGAAAAATTATGGACAATAATTTAATTAAACTAATTTGTGTCAGTTACCTCTAGGTTCGAGTTGTTATTCCATTATTACAAGCGATCAGGGTAGATTAATCTTACGTTTCCGAATGCTTTTGATAGCAACGCACTCTATACATGAGTAACTAGAAGTGCTGTCTGACTATTGCTGGGGTTTGATTACTGAATTGGATAACTTGTGTTATATTGGGAAAGCTTTGCAAAATCGGTTATAATTTCAATCACACTTTAAAAAAAACATAAATTATACATATTATATATGTATAATTAATTAATTAATTAGATAAAATTATGATAAATTATGAACAATTAATGCGTTAATGAATATTTTAACCATGGGTAT